TTTTGCCAGTATCATTTATGTTCCGGGAAGTTAGTGTAAAGCACAGTACAATAATCCTCATTTACCATTTAAGCTTCTCCAGAGACTTTGCCTGTGCAGCAGTTTTGGCAAAACCCTTGTCATTTATAGTAGACTTCATAGGCTAGGTTACTAAACTTACTCCATTATTCTTATGACATTTTACCTTAAGAAAAATAAATAGCATTGGCAACCTAACAGAAGTTGCAATGGCTAGTGCAGCATCAACCACATAATCAGTTTTCCAAACACAGAGAACTGAATGTCTCTGATGTTGTTATTAAAGGCTAAAAATAACGTGTGTTCTGCAGGATGCTTTTGAGATGGGTGGAAAAGGATCTGTTTAGGTTAAAAGAACCAAAGTAAGAAATCCTGGTCAGATAATTTGCAGTCAGTCATAATTCAGCCATTTCTCCATACTGGAATTGTAATTACGGTCTCCATTTGCCAAACCATAAAACTACCATGGTTCAAATTCTCTAAAACTGAGCGTCTAGTGTACCTTTGTTCCTTTTTATTATTATTTTTCTTTACAGAAAAAATATGTTATTCAAAGCAGGAAGATGGTCTTGTGGTTAAACCACTGGAAGAGGAGGGTTTGGACTTTTTCCCCAGCTCTGCCTCAAACTTCCTGTCTGGTCTCTGAGAAGAACTTAACTTTTCTAAATTCTAATAGCAGATCAGAACAACAGTATTGATAATTAATTTTACAAAGGTGTTGTGAAATTGTATGAGTTACTGCTTGCAAGGAAAAAGCAATCAAGTAAAATTATCACTATTAGTAAAAGCAAATAGGGAAAGAAAAAAAAACTTCCAGCATTGTAGTAGCTCACTCTGCTTATTGCCTGCCTAGCCAGGCAATAGCTTAGGAATGCTTCCTCCTCAGTAACTCATGGGACAACCAGATGTGCTGCTCTATAACCCTCCCCACACACAACAGTCTCATAAAGGTGGGTCAGATGGGTTTCTTCCAAAACAAAAACCAACCAACACGGAGTCTGCCAATGCTTGAACAAAGAAGGCAGCTTTATTTAATCAACAGAAAAAGCAGAGCAATTTCAGAAGCATACGATAACCTGAAAAGAAGCAATTCAAGCATAGACAAAGAACCAGGAAATAGTTTCTTGATGATGAAGGATACAGGAGCTGTAGAGTGCTTCCCTCAGGAAAACTACCACAGCATCACATACTGAAGTGAGAAAAACAATAGAAAGCACATCCATTGGTAGAAGTTTTGCTGGACAGAATGGTGAACCCCAGAAGATTTTGCCATCTTTAATTTCTATGACTGCAAGTAGTGGTAGAAGCTGAACTCCTGTGTGTTCAAGTGCATACAGTTTGTTGCTTTAAACTGGAGTTTGTTTACTGCTCTGGTTCTGTAATCAGTAGAAGAGGGCAAGGATATTGATCTCCCTTTCCTCAAGGTCTTAAGCAGATGAACACACTTCTGCTGTGTGCAAACAACTTAAAAACTTCTCTTTTGGAGAACTCAGCATTTCTGACCGCAACAGGATAGGAGGTGCCTGTGAACACCTCACAGGTCATGAGTATGGTACAGTATATAAAGCCCCTGATTAAAACTGCATGCAAAATCATTCAGATCTTGCATTCTGGTTGAGTACGCCAGCCCCTCTGCAACACCCATGGAGCTCTGCACAATGGAGACTAATGACTACTGCTTCAATCCATAGAGTACTCAGGAAAGCAGCCTAGAAATTCATTCTGGCCTAAACGTTGTCCTGTTACATACTGTCTGTTTTCCTCAGAGATATTGCACGAGAGTAAACTAAGGTTAACGTGAAAGCCTGAGCACTCTGTGTCCTTGCTTTGTGTTTTGCAGTCAGAGCAATTATGTTATATCAGTGTTGTTGGAGGGAGTTATGCTGTAAATTGATACAAGTGTCTGCTGCAATGAAATCTTCCGCAACATGAATATGGATTTCAGCAGCATTTTCACTCACTAAATTACTTTGCAGATGGGCTAATAACCTGAGGTTAAAATAACCTCTGTTGAATAAACTATCTCCAGAAATAAACAGTCTAGTTTTTCTTGGTCAGAGAGGCCAATCGATAATTAAATTTAACGCGGGTTAGAAAGAGTGGAGCTCTGATCTGTTTCAATCACAATGTCCTTAATTTAAAACCAAAAATAAGTTACTTTTTTTTTTTTTTAGTGCTCATAAGAATGTATCTGAAGCATGGAAACAAACAGTCAAAGCAGGAGGAAAAGACAGTGATTTAGCTATGTGGGATGCAAACCTGCATTTTCAGCAAACAAGTATACATATTATGGATCTCTCCTCTACGTACTTTAATGACCATTTTTATTTTTATTACTATGTATAATATCAGATATTACCACCTGCACTGAAAAGCTACAACTCTCAGACATCTCCATTGAAATCAATAGAAAAGTTCTTACATATACAATTGCACAAGTGAACAACAAAAACTTCTCAGAAAGACTGGTTGTTTAAGTTTGAATGTTATTAAAGATTTCAATAAACAATTTTAGGTCACATCTAAATGCTACCCTATCATCAGAAGAGGTATGAATAAAATATACTATTACTTCCCTCTCTTCTGTTGCCTTCATTGTGAAGATTTTCCTCTTATAATGATGCTATCTTATTTTAAATTTTCACATAATATATTTAAGAACAAATAATTAATAAATTAATATCTTTATAATACAAAGCAATCTTTTTATGTCACAATTTTCCTGCTAACAATAAAAATGCTTTGTTACATTTCATACTACAATGAATGAGCATTGCTTCTATTACTTTATCAAATTAATGGTTGAGTTCCTTTTTTTCTGAAACAAACTAAAAAAAGACTGAGAAACAAATGGTTTTTAAAGAAGCCTTTTTATATAATTTTGATAGTGGAAAGGAAATCATCTCTGGTTAAATAGTTTACGAAGGAAATAAACATTGCATTTGCTTGATCAGGTGAAATGACCATGCTAGCTTAGCTTTGTTTTTGTAAAAGTGTGAAATTTCTGCTTAGAAAGTTGAGTTGAGAGATGAATGTTGGTTTGTTTTGTTTCTTGTTTGTTTTTTTCCTTCCAAGTTTTGTCTAGTTCACTTATTTCCAACTGCATAGAAGTTAGATGCAATAGACAGAAAATGCATCTTCAACTCATTTAGAGAGTACAACCCTATTGCTCAGATCTAACATAGAACTGAATGCATTTACCATGTTGGCATTGAAAGACTGAACGGACAAAGCACAAGGTGCATCCAGAGCTGAGCTAAGCAGCCCCTGTGTTCATTTTGGCCCACACTCTATGAATTAAAGCCAAGTGGCTCACAACCTCATTGAATCAGATCCTTCAGATGAGTACCAAAAACACTGCAAAAGCTTCCTTCCTTCTATGTGTAACTAGGCCATAAATGTTTCTCATGAATGTGTCTTTATCTTAGAGACTTCGCTTTTAGATGCTTTTGGAAAAGAAAAAGACATTTCTTCAAAATGATCCCTTTGATATCTTCTAACTTGCACTGCATTGAGGAAGAACATATTCTGGAGTTTGTTAGTTTAATGCAATTTGAACATAACATGAATTACTTTCCTGAATATATTGATTCTATGACAGCAACACTCATCCAGAAGTAAAAAGACAGCTAGTAAATTTTAAGATTTGTTTTAAAGGACGCATTTTAGACTCATTAAAAAAAAAGCTAATTTAAGGTAAACATGACTTCGGAAAAAAGTATATTAAATTATGCTATACTGTTCTCATGGCTTCAGAAAAGAGTTATTTTTCCTGATGTACCTGCACAAAAAAGCAGATACACAAACAAGTGTCACATTCTATCCTTTACTTATTTTTATTATTTCACTCTTTTTTTTTCTTTTTAATATATTTTTGCTATAACCCTCACCTTTCCAAAAAAGTGAAGCATGAAAAGGCAATATTTAAAGCTGATTTCACAGCAGGAGATAACATTTAGATCAAGAACACGTAGGTTAAAAAAAAAGTAAAAAAAGAGGGTTTATCACCTGCCACAGAAAAAAAATAGCTTATTCTTTGTGACTCCTGCCAAAGAGAGCACCTTTGTGGCCACCCATCATGCCAATAAGATATGACAGGTTTGATCAGGCCTTGAGAGCCTTTCACAATAGGGCTTTGTCAAACCTGTCCCTTTTCTGCCCACAGTGTCATACATTTACCAAAATCCCCTTTTGTTGCCCATGTTCAGGTTTGTAGGCTCAAACTTCACAGTAACTAGCACTGAAGGGATACACGCGATTATTGCTTGCGCAACGTAGCTGTCACATCTCCAAAGACTAAGATCAGTGGTCTTTCCTTGGGGCACAATAAAAAGGTACTGCAAATTTCACTTTGTAGTAACTACAGGCTACAGAAATTGCATTAGTTGCATTAGCTGGAGTCATAGAAATATTCAGAAAGGTTAGCGGGATATGGTAGATGTCACATTTCTACTACGATAAAAAATCACTTTGCTAACTTACAGTATTTTCTGCTTTGGTAACACCCTGTATTAAGGTGCCACTTATAAATAATTTATTATTATTTATTAATGTATAAGCCACTTTATAGGATGGCAGATAACTTAAATTCATGTATTAAAGATGCACATACATGGTTTAATACAATTTACATCTCACAATATCCTTCGCAACAGATTCTCATCGCATCATCTGTTAAGCATTTATTACTAATGCATTTTATAACATACTTTATAACACATTATTTGAGGAAGTAGCTGCATTTAGCGATCATTTTCATAAATAAGAATAAAGCATTTATAAATTACACCTTAATTTAAAGTGTTACCTTCACATTACTGGATAGTCGCTCACAATTTGTCTCGCTCTGCAATTATTCTCAAAATGCACCTCTTAATAAAGGACGTGCTAAGTCCTATTTCTTCTCATACTCTACATCCGATTAAAAGTTTATCAAGGCATTTTCCTTCAGCTGCTCTCAGGTCTTTGAAGGTTGCCAGCTCATTCTGAACGTGCCTTATATAAGCAGCAAAGTCTTTAATACTGAAGTAACAGTTGCAAAGAAGCTGAGTGTAATTGAATGGCTGATTGCCTACCAGATTGGCCAGCGCTGGCTGTTTAGATTCTTTGTAGAATTCCATTTTCCGTGAAGTAAGAACAATCCAAGATGTGGACCAGTTTTTCCTTAAAAATATAATAATAAAAATTATTAGCGAGACACTCAAGCAGGGTGTAAGAATTGTTCCATCTGTAGACACGGCTTTTAAATATTTCATTTCAGAAAGGAAAAGTGATCTGAACTCAATCTACTGCTCGTCTTGATGAAATTGTACCATCATAATTGTGATACGAGTGTGGCCTAACAGAAAAGCATGAAGGCTTTGTTTCCCCTCATTCCCATTTTAAAGCCCCTCTGCTTCTTTTAGCACCAAGGTGCCTCAACCACAGGAAAGCAGAGGGATTATTCACACATGCTTGAAGTTCACACATGTTAAGAGCGTTCCAGTAGCTTATGCCCTTCTGATAACTACTATTTTAAATAGAATCAAGAAGGAGAAAAAAAAGTCCAACTGCACGAGCTCAGTAAAGGGTCTGTTCTGAAAGGTCCAAAATACTTTCTCTTTGTTCAAAACAAAAAATCCACAGGAAAAAAAAAAAAAGAAAAGAATGATATTTCAGAGAGATTTAAGTTTCTGTAAAACACTGGGAGGTTATAGTACAGCCTAATATGCCAGCAAACTGCTGGAGCCTGGGAGAAGAAATCAAAATACACATGGATAAGAGAAATGGTGTCTCTCTGCACAGAAGAGCACAATAATCAACTCACAGTGAAATTATATTATATATATTACATATAACGTGATGTTTCAAACCACCATATTATCATAAACAAATGCATCTTGCCTGACAGAAATCTATTTTTAGATGAAAGTCAAGTTTGACTCTCTGATTTTGGGGTCATAACATTTCTTATTTACAAAAATGCTCATCACCTGTCTATTTGCTTTATGTGGATAAAAACCGCAAATCTTAATATTTTAGAACAGACTTGAACATGTATGTGACAAGCAGGTTGTTTCACCAATATTCTGTGGTGCCTTAAAAGGAGGAAGTTGACTGTTAACATCAGGAGCGTTAAAATATTTTTCCTCCTTATCATTTCTTCTCTAGTCTCTTTGAGCTCCCAGTATTTAAGTATCCCTAACTATATCAAACACATTCATTTTTTCATTTTAGCTCATTCGGTCTTCGTTGAGTTGGCTTCCTTTCAGATGCACCTCAAAGCTCACTTGCATTCAGTATGGCATCAAACTGAGCATCAAGCACAATAACAGGTTGTTTCTCTTTTAATTATCTCCCTATGTAATACAGAGGAGTATAACCAGTCTTACAGACAAAGCCCTCATTGCACTGACATTAGCAGAACTTCTGCTCATTTCTGTGTGGCTAAGATTTCACCCAGCACAATAAAGTTCATCCCCAAAATATATCCTACAGGTGAAAAACAATGTGAAAAACAAACAAACAACACTCTCAATGAATTAAAAGAACAGATTTGAAGAAAATAAGACTGCATTCTTAATGTTATGTTAATAGAGGGGAAAAAAAAATATAGAGAGACTAAGAAAAATACCTGACTGTGAGGATATATTATTCCCCAGTGTTTGCAAGTCACTTTGAAATTTCCAGCTAAGTTTATTACAACTATGAAGTTGTATCCATAACTAATGTGAACTATGTTCTGTTCACAGCTGAGGACTGTGCATATTGGCATTAAGAACACTTCAACCTCAACTAATTAGTTTTTACAGTGTCCTTGTGAAACAAGCACTGTAGCTAACAATCGCCATCAAAGCAATGAGTACAAGTTGTCTAGTGGTAAGCACAGCTTCAGTTCTTAATTTCTTTCTTTTTTTTTTCCTCTCCCTACTCATAAAAGGTCTTGCAAGTAAGCGGCCAAGCCTGCTGTGTACTGATTTAAACAGACTTTCCTACGGGTTGGATATACTGGCTAATTATGGATTACTAAGGGATTGAAATCCTTAGTACACAGCCTAGATTCAGCACGCAACTTACATCAAATGCTTGACATCAGGCTCAACCAACATCAAAGCTTTACACGTACCTCAGAAATATACAGATGCACATAGGATACCAACTAAAACGGACAAAAAAATCTGCCCCAGCAGCACTTACATGAGGGACTAACATAAAGCAGACATAGTCAGGACACACACCATTCTGCTCCAACAGCTGGGATTAGGAGAGCTCACTCCAGCACCTCGCACTGGGATTTCCACTGGCCCCAGTAGCAGGAGCTGACGTACCAGTTTGCCAGTAGCTAGCAGCCTGAACACAAAGTCTATAGAATCCTTTCAGATGCAGAGAGCTATGGTCCCACCAGCTGCTGGTGCCAGGACCCCAGGAGCTGGCACCAGAACCTGCAAACTTGTGCCCTTCTCCTTACTCCAGTAGCTGTGACCAGTTCACCTGCACACACACCCACCAGGAGCTAGCATGTAGCCCTTCATACAGAAGGGAATAGAAATACATAAATAAAGAGTTAATAAGACAGACTGCGGTGATCCGTTTCAGGGCTCAGCCTGGCTTCCTTTTACAAATGACAGGCATTTTATATTGTTTGCCCTCCTTCACCTCTCTCCCACGCACATCCCTATGAGTTTGCATCTCTCTGCAGTTTCTACACCTTCCCAGGCTGGGGTCCCTCAGTTCACATCTTATCTTCTGCAAAATCCAGGCTGATCTTCACAGAGATGACACCTGTAGTTTTGAAAGTCCATCCATTTGTGACTGGAAAGTTCCTATCTTGTCACTGTCTCGATTTTTGCTTTGTCAAGTCTGTTTCTCAGCATTTTACTTATTGTTTTCTCTCTTCTTTCTGTTTTCCCAACTGAGAGGTCCTTACTCTGATACTGTGCTTGAATCAACACCCCCACATGCTGTCTTCTTCCTTAGCAATTACTACAACTGACCAAGATTTTTTCTGGCTGTTGTCTTTTACTTAGAAGTCCTCAACCAGATAAGCCTGCTGAAATAAACATGCCTGCATCAAATACTGTAACTGACCAGACTTGATTCCCATAATTGCCTACCTCTCTTATTACCCATTGCCACATTGGAAAAGGTCCTTCAGCAGATATCCTTTATGGGACCAAATGCTCTTCTTCTATTTACCTTTACAAAGTATCCCTTAAAAAATGTTGGATCATAGAATCATAAGATAAGAGGTTTTACTTAAACTTTACTCTGAAGTTTAAGGGGAGGATGCTTTAATTTCATGAGAGAAAAGGATATTTCATGATTTGTCAGGAGACTATAGGAAATCCCTTCCAATCCCTACAATTCTGTGATTCTGTGAAATGTATTAGCGATGAGAATGCATATGAAATCCACCATGATATGATTTTTTTTCTTCTACATTCAAATTCCCTAGTCCTTTTATATTAGTCATTTTATTTTAAAAATTACATTTTAAAATCAAAACTCCACTGCTTCTGTGACCTAAAATTAAAAAGTACATGGACAATCTGATAAATATGTTCTCTATTTCAAACATTTATCACTCAAATTTAAAAAGAACAAGCAAATTCCTTAAGGTGTATTAGTAGTCTTTTTATAGATGGGGATGCTGTATTTGTTCCCATATAAGCAGTGACCTAAGACTTTCAATTTCTTTAGAAAAATTTCATTCACAATATTGTAGGGTTGTTTTTTTTTTTTTGAACATTCACAATAAAGTAGGTTTTTGTTTTTTTTCCACACCACATAAGATTATTCAATAAGTCACCTCCAGTCAATGAACAAGTTTAGGGAAGTGAAAGGAAGAATCTGATAAAGTGTAGACAAAGTAGATAAATCATTAGTACCCATGCTTTGTCTGCATAAAGACCTAGAAACATCAGTACACAGAGAAGATCCAGCTAGATTTAACAAGCGTATTGCTTGAATTCATCTAAACCCATGACATTAACCTTAGAGTTTAAAACACAGACAGCTCCTGAAAGCTAACCACTCCTGCACTGAAATGAGTCCTATTTGAGAGCTGCTGCTGCATTTGCATTCTGTCAAACGAACACCTGATGGCAGCACATTATAGCTTCAGTGCTGCTTTCAATTTCTAAGACTTTTTTTTTTTTCTTTTGCAAGATACGAGATTATTCTGTACTGTTTAAAACAGTGGTCATGCTAGGTTGCCTCTTTCCCATGCCAGTGGCAAACTGATGTGCAATGCCAAGCCATGGGGATGTATTGTGCTAAGGGTTCTTATAGGCATCAGTTCTCACTAGGAAGTTAACACTCTTTCCTGGTCTGGCCTTATTGGCAGACCATGCCATCCTATACACATCCTGCAGAAGCATTGGCCCAGGTGTGGTATGAAGTATTACTGGTTTTGGTGCCTTTTCCCATAGTGCAAGTGCCACCAGTCTCTCATGTGTTACCACCTGCAGAGCACCCAGTAATAGAAGGTTTGACCACAGGTAAACAGCATTCTAGTTTGAAGTAAAAAGCTGGATGGACACAGTGACATCCAGACTTATTTAAAATAAATAAAATCCCAGGATCTTTACAGATTATCACTCCACGTACATTAACTCATTTCTCCAGGCAGAAAATAAAATATTTCATATTAATCTCTAATGATCATTAGTAACATACAAGACACTGATCACATCACCGCTACCACCTTCTGGACGTTTAGATACAACAAATGATAGCAAATACTTTTATCAATAGCTAACATTCATATCATTTTTAGCAGAAATAGCGTTAAGCAAATAAATGCTGACTGCCATTGATAGTCTTGCCTAGGCATCCTCACATTCTACATCCCATCCTTGACTCCTGAAGCACACACAGAGCACCTACAGTTTTCTTACTTGAAGAGACATTAGTTTGTGTGGTGTCTTAAGGTTGCCTTTAATATGCATATCACATATAACACATGCTCATCACATGTAATCAGCCTGCTAGATGTTAGTACTTGCATTCTGAGACTGTAACACTCCAAAAGAGCTGATCACACATTGGGTTAATGCTGAAATAAAGTCATTTTGGCTATAAGCCACAATAATAGCTACATATACTTAAAATTCAGAGTGGATATGTGTTTACAACTGATAAGTTCTGTAACGTTTACATATAATACCTTAATTTCTTGCCACCGTCTGCTATTTTAGCTTTTAGAAGATATCCTTCTTTCTCCACCACCTACAAGAAAGGAAAAGAAAAACAGATCAAAACCATATCATTCATTCAGGTTAACGTATCCATTTAGTTAGTACACACATAAGAGTACACATCTAACTGATCTAGTAGGGGGACATTTTATCATTAATTCCCACTTCAGTCACTTATTTTTCTGTTACAGTCAGTTCTTTTGAAAATACACAAGCAACTTGCAAAGTCAATTAGTACACAGAATTAATCTGGAAGAAAAGCTCATGATAATACTTTATTGGTTGAGTTAGCAGAAACTTATATTAATGCATGTGAAATTTCTGATTATAAGTTAAAAGAAATATTTAAAGTATACTGTAAGTAAATTATGACATTTAATATATTGAGTTGTAGGAGTTCATGTTTCCTTAAAAGCTATTATTATGAAGCTATTCTGTAAATAACTCTTGATTCTTATAGTCAAAAGAGATTTCTGTTTAGGGACAACCAATATCAGAGCAATGCCAAATATGGGTACAACAGGAAAAATCCCATTATCCCCTATGTGCCACATTTTGCTCTGAGGTAGTACAGAAAGAGAGCTCACTGAAGATGCTGGAAGACATTGTGCTTTTATACAGTGCTGCCTTCTGGATGAACTATAGCATTGAAGTTCTCACCCTCACAGTCTTTAAAAGGTCACACTTCACTGGAGTGTGTGCGACTGTGTGCAGGGAAAACTACCTTCAAGTTCCCAGCTGAACTAAACAATCTCATGCTATAGCAGAAAACCAAATCGAGCAGTCGGTCAATTTTCAACATAAAATCTGAAACTGCAATTATAAACAGAGGAAGTCACAGCTGTGATGTGCATTTTTCCAAAACACATCCAAGAAGGCAAAGCCCTTAGCTAACACCTACACAAAACAGTATGGGACACAAGCAATCTGATATCACCTGCATAGAACCCCCGCTTTGCTACTTGGTTTGTAACATGATGAAAAGCATAACAATGACAGCAAGATTTCAGTCTGCAGCAAGCAAGGATATACCCAAATGCAACAGCAATAGGTAGAGAAATAAAGAAAAGAAGGCACTTACCTTCAGCAGGCTTAAGGCACACAGAGATCTCCAACAAGATCCCCTTATCCCCACTGCCAACCCTTAAATGAGGTCTGGGGTAGATCCTTGTTCCACCCCTTCCAATCACTCAGGTACATTGCTTGCACCTGAGTTCTGCTGGGTTGGCCCTGCCTTCCCACCAGGTGTTCAATCAATGGTTCAAACTATGAGTCAGCATTTCTACCCCACAGTTTCTGAAATTTGACCCCTTTCTTTGTGTCCAAACAGGCTACAAAATGTTGGATAGACACGAAGCTGCAGCACCAGATTGCACAGGATCTCTGTTGCATTTGAGTTTTGGAATACTAGAAGTGAATCCTACACTTGTTTTTCATTTTTATTTCTCCCTTTCAATTTGCGGTCCTCCATAGCTCTACACACATTCTAAAACAGCAAAAATAAGAGGCACTTGGTCATACTTTCTGTACAATCTACTGAAACAATCCTTATGAAGCCATGATATAGGCTTTGGGATGTTTCAGAGGACTGTGTAAGTTTGTATTAAGAAAAACTAAAAGAAAAAAGAAAAGTACTCAACTAAACCCACTGAGTTGCTATCTCATTAGTTTAGGATGCCCTGACTATGTCAGTAATGGAAAAAGAGAACACAGGGACACCTCAGAGTTTCCAGAAGTAAAACAGTGATTCAGAGTGAGCCTGCTTTCACTTTCAAACACTGCTGAGTCAGTGCCTATCTGCAGTATTAGTAACTCTGCATGGTCTTATAGGAAATTTCATCACGAGATGATTTTGTACCAATTTCAGTAGATTTTTTTCCATCTGCAAAGCTGTTAAGTGGCAATAAAACATGCTTTGACCTGCAACATAAGAGTTTTTAAATCAAGCGTACCTTTTATTTTAATTGCACAGAGTATCAATCATGCTATTAACATACATTTGATTATCACCATAGATTTTGTCTGTTGCTTGTATATAGAATGTAATCAAATATATACCATGTACATATATGTTAGTACCAATGAAAAGGTCTGTGGACAATGATCTAGGTGATATTCTCAAATGTGTACATAGGTACATGGGTATTAGTGTGTGAATTTTCTCTAATTTGTACTTATCTCATGCAAATTCCTGTCATGCATATCATTGCCATAGAAAATCCAGAGAGAAAGTTATGAGGATTATTCTGCAGAGTCATATCACTATTTATCTAGTGATGGATGGGGGTACTATTAGAAGTAAAATAAGACTTAACCCCAGGTCCATATACATTTTTTTTCTTTTTCTTTTTCTTTTTCTTTTTTTTCTTTTTTAATACACTTATTTTACATCTTTGGAAAAAATGTCTTCCCCTCCTAACTGTTCATTTTTGTAGCATAAATCTTCTGGTGCTTGGCCAGGGCCAGAGACGCCAAATAACATATGAGAAAGGTTATTCTTTTAATATTTCTATCCATCTGGAAACAGAAATTGGGAGGAGCATTGGCTAACCATTCAAGCTGTTGATTGCTTCTCTGAATCAGACCCAAAATTTCATCCTTTAAAAGTTTACCAACACTCTTTCAGACTGTTATTTTAAGCAATCTAAAACTAAAGGCAAATGTGATTTTCAAGACTGGATTTGAATCACCTCTGTTCCTACATTTTGGAAAGTTAAAAATTGGATATGTTTCCAGGTGAAAATATTGGTGCTCAATCATTTTTTCCATGTAGCAGTCTTGAGCTAGAATATCAAATCTACTAGCAAATGTGGGGCAGATAAAATACCCCAATTTAAGTCCTGTAGTTCATATCCACCCTTTAAAAATCAAACATCTCAAAACTAAACAGTTAAATACAAGCTATACATGAGACACCTCTATGTTAAAAAAGGCATATATATATGTTGGTTTAATTAAATTAGTACAGGTGCTGTCTGTAAGAAAATAAGCACAGCTTTCATTATTCAATAATGTGTACAGTGTTCTCTGTAATTAGCATACAGTGTATTTGCAGAATTACATAACGACTTTATCACCAAGACAAATAAATGATTTCAAGGATGACCCCAATATTTATATAATCTCTGTTCAGGGAGCTGTATTTTCCTTGTCTAACATCTGTTAATATCCCTTTTTCCATGTACAGATTTAGAAGGAAATACTTCCATGATGGCTCAGGATTCTATTGTAAATGGATGACATTAGATTAAAAAGAATACCAAATATATCTTAATGATATGCTCTGTTTTTTTTCCTGTCTCAATAAATATCATCATTTCTTGTTAAGATGTTGCCCCTTCTGCACCTTTTTGACATATAGAAGGTTGAGAATATAACCCAAAATGCCCTGAAAGAATTAACATAGAAAAACATCGAATACTTCTGTTCTTTGTTGTTGTTTCTTTTTAATTTGTTATTTAGGAAAAAAAGAAGATGAAAATTTGTACATATAAATATTTGAGTTTCTATCTAATGAACAAACATTAGGAACAGTGTAAGAAACAGTAGTTACCTCTAGGTCACATATATAGGTTCCATAATTTTCTTATTTATAAGAATGACAAGTTTCTGAACCTACCTAGTATTTAAAAGTTCATATACATAAAAGCATCATTTTTAATTTTAATTAATCTGTATTTCAATATTCATTATATTTTCAGTTTAAAAAAGAAAACAAATAATTCTCTACCCTTTTCATTCCCCCTAGATTCTTTTAGTTTCATGAAAATTATGGTAAATGTAGTGCTCAGTTTCATTTAGAAAAATTAATATTAGAATGAAAAACATTTGTGTGGACAAAGACATGGTTACATTCCTTTATCCAGAGTATTACTACTGATGAAATAGTCTAGTATGACTGAGTTAACAACAAAGTCAAGCCATACAAACTGCTTTGTATCTTTGAATATTATTCTTTTTATTGATTAATCAAAGTCCTTTAAATCCCTTAACATCTTGAGGCATCCAAAACCTCGTGTATTTATTCTTTAGTAAAACGTGCAATATTTACATTGTAAGCTTCTAAAGAGCAAGAATGATTTATCAGTTCTGTAATGCAATTTCTTACCGTGTGGTCTGGTGTACTAATGATGTCTGCAAGTGTTAAGTTATGTTGGGAATGATTTCTTCTGTGACGATTTATCTAAAAACGAAAAAAAGGATTTAATTCCAAAGAAAATTCAAAAATATGGAGATGAAGATGGACCAACAAATACAATTACCAGGCACGTACATCCAGGTACTAGATGTAGTTTTGGAAACCTGGCTTCTTTTAGTACAGCTTTTCTGTGAAAACTGATTTTACCCCAGTATTTGGTAACCTTCCTGAATATTAGAAAGGCACAGCTACTAAATTCTAAAGATCCTTGTCATGAATGTGCTTTTTTATGATGTGACATTGGAAAAGTAAGCTAAAACTTGACCAATTGATAACAATTGTTTGAAACTGAGACTCTTCCATCAAGAATCTTCTGGTTGGGTGACCTTACGCCCATTTTACAGGAAAGGGAAAGGTGCTAATTGGAACCTCGAGTCTACAAAGCAAGTCTCTGAAGAAATTAAAACATATTTGGGAATGCATATGGAATATGTCTTATGTTTTAACTGCTCTAAAGGCTATTTCTAACTTTCCATGTCTAGAAGGCTGCAGCAATATTGGACTCTGATTCTACAATTGTTCCTGAGGGCTGAGTCCTTGATTTCCTCCAGTTCCTTCTTCTCCTGAAGATAACTGTGATTTAACTCTGCAAAATCAGATTACATTATACCAGACATTGTTAAGACTAAATAAAAATTGGATGACAAATCAAGGGTTTCCACTGAAAAGAACAGGAGGAATTTTACAAATCTATGACAAAGAATAGGTCACCAAAAGATATGTATACATTTTTTCAAAAGTTTTACTGCTTAAATTTGGTATTACTCAAAAATAATATAGTTTGGATCCTGTAAAATACAGCGATTTTCTCATCTTTTAACAGATATCAAAAAGCGAATGACAAAATAATTTCAACTAGTTTCCACTGTATTCATCATAATGCATTCTCTTTTTCTCTATTGAAGCGGAGTTAGCTGAAAGTCATAATATATTCTGTTTATATTTAAGTGTCTGAATATAGAAAATGTTCTTAATTAATCCAGAGGGCCACGCTCAAAAAGCAGTTAAACATATTATGATCCCATATTTTTTCTCCACATACTGCTTTCATGTTTATTTGTAAGCGCTAACATATTTAAGCCTTGAAATCTATATCCTAGATATTGCTCCACTCTTCTAGTCAGAGCTAATGAGCTTAATGAATTACCAGTTCTAAATTTAATACAAACATTTCAAAGAAAGAGATAAAACATTCTTCACAATTCAAAAGTTTCTCTGACCTATTTATGAAGAATATCACTTAACAATTTCATTAAGGGTGAGTAACAGCTGGTGACATGGCTGTGTCCTAAAGTGTTTTTCTCTCTTAATATTCTGCATCTTAAGCAATCGAGCTTTCATAAGAAATACTTTAGTTAGTGGCAGTCCCTCCTTTGGGGAGAAAAAAAATGTCAGACCACATTTTCTGTATTTTGCAATCTTGTTTTCAGGAGTGTCATGTTCCTGTTTTATTAGCATGTAGGGTAAACAAGAATGATTTGCTGATGCTATTGAGAGAACTTCTAAGATTACAGTCTTTCCATTTAGATTTTGGGTGGAACTTAATATTAATGCAAGCAGAGACATGTCTATAAATTCAAAATAAATTAATTCAATTTATCTTTTTCTTTATCCTTACTATCCAGCATCTCAAAGTCCTATAGTGCACAAGACATATAACTAAAGTATTCAGGTCTAGATCATAGAAAGCATTTTTTACCCAGATCCCCACTCTAATTATTCTTTAACATACAGCATAGCGTACTGCCCCATGATGCTTTCCAAAATATATGCTTCACTCATCCAAATTAAGTAACAAGACACATTACTACTCCACAGCACTTATTTTAACATTCACTTGTTATCTCCAGGAATCACACGTGTCTTTTGGGGGCCCTATATGCAACTTTGTGAAGTGCACAGCACCGATCAGAGCTTTTGGTCTGGTCTTAGACTCGGTGATCAGAGCATTACAATGAAAGAAATGCTCGCATTTGATACATGCTAGAAATAATACCGGAGGCATCAAATCCATCCTCAATCAAATGATGGAAAGAGATTGTAAAATGTACTTTAAGTAGTGCTAGCTAGTTATTCAATGTACTTTCATTAAAAGAAATAAAAAATTTTGAGGAGATATAAAAGGATTGAATAAAAGATTTAATTCTGGGTGCAGATGACATTATGTGTCAACTTCTTTGCTATCTGCAAAGCAGAAATGATAAGGAAAACTGCATATGTGCAGTGAGAAAGAATAGACTTGATCATCTAATATGATACTTCTGCAATTTTGCTTAAATTGCAAATGTTTCCCTTACAGGACAAAAATGAAACTTCACTGTTGCCCAGCAGTGAGCAATGCAATCTGATGCAACAAAGTCCTGGATCTCCCAAATGAAGCAATCAAAATCCTTACAGTTATGTAAGCCAAGTTCAAGCTCTTCTGGAAAAATCTACCTAAAATATTTGGCTGAAAAGTGGAGTTAATGGAAATGTGAATTTTCTACCAGCATTTTAGTTTAGGAATGGACCTTCTGAAAAACTGAATCAAAGCATCTTGAACTCAACAATAACATTCTTTAATAAGTTAGATTTCATTAAATTCCAGAAGGACTTCTATCAATTCACTCAAATACATATCACAGACCCTACCAAATGAGTTAACTGCATCACTTCCTTTATGATAATATTCAATCCACTGTTAAAACATTCTCAGTAAGAGCATCTGATTGACAGTTAGGTGAATACACTCACATTTCTTCAAAATTCATCAGTTTTCCCTTTAGCAAAATCAAAAGTCTAAATGAGAAGTAACAATTCTCAATTATATACCTGTGAGTCACCCAAACATTCAAAGGAAAGCACTTGCTTGATTTCAGTCTTTCCTGCAGTTTTTTAATAGGGAGACCATAACTTAGATATTTTGAGATATTTTTTTCTCTGTAGCTCCATTCAATTACCCTAAGAAACTGAAGCAAAATCTAAATAACGTCTGTCATAAGTCCTCTACCTCACCTTCCAGGATATGATGAAAGGCAGAGATATACAGGAGAAGTTCGTGAGATCCCTTTTTGGGAAAGTCAGCTTATCAGCAGTTTTCTGATTTGATGAACATTCTTCAGTCAGCAACAATGTCACCTGCAGCATTAAAAATCCACTCTGCGAGCGCTTGCAAGTCTGTGGGCAAGTCTGGTTTTGTTAAATTCAGCCTCAGCAGCCCTCCCTTCCCCTTTGCTAAAGGGTATCCATCTCCTACCAGAGTTATTCCAGCATCTAAACATTAATCCATCATTGTACTTTCTAGAATGGCAAAGCCTCCATTACATATGCCTGGTATCCTGGTGTGAAGGGACAACCATCTGACAACTGCTACTTTAACATTAATGAAATAACATACCATAACCTGATGTCTAATTCCATTTCTTTTCATGTACCTATTTGTTCTTTAATTTCTCCCTCTTTCTGTGGGAATTCATCACCACTATTTCATTGCTAGTCCCTTCATACAGTGTGGTATTGGCTTAAAAAAAATCCTGAAGGACTGATTTGGATTTTTTTTTTTCTTATTATAACCATATTTCTGACCTAATTCATCCAGGTCAGTGAGAAGCAGCATATTTATGTCTGATTTCACCCAAACATAATAAAATTGACCGGCATCTCTCAAAAGGTCCAGACAGAATGCTTTAATGCAATCTACAGATGGTGAATTATTTCCTGAAACATCAACCTGAATTCACTCTTATCCTTAAGTAATTAAGAAAATTCTAAGACCTTCATAGGTGGTTTCCAACATTATTGAATAAATTAACAACCATAGATTATTTACACACAAATCCTCCTGTCAGCAGACTGAGAAAACCATAGCTTGCTCAAACAAAGTACAACTAGTGCAGAAGAGCTCTGCTTCCGATGAAAAACCCTATGATGACATCAACCTGCTATTTTCTCCACCAGCCACTGTACTGCTCCACCAAGGAGAACGTTCTCATGGAGGTTTTTCTTAGCATCCTACCCAAAAATTACGTCTTTGTTTACACTTTGACCTTTCTTCTTAGGAGTCTAACTGTTGTTTATTTTCATCCTACTCACACTGCAGTCAACTAACACGGAGACTCCTTCATAAATACCCAAAAAGAGAGAAACCCCTGCTGTCGAGAGCTTGCTCCTGCATGTTGCTCAGCTCTGGACTTGATCCAGCAAAGTACTCTGCAACACACTTAAGTGGTTTTCTGGATGAGGGCCAGCACACTCAATTCTTTATGGGATCGAACTTACTGGTGGTAGCATTAAAGTTTGCAATAAAAGCACAAACTAGTCGCATAAACTTTTGTGAAAACCATTCCCTCAACAGAGAAGGAGGGGTGATACCTGATTTAGTGATGTCTGTGGTCATTTCATTCCCTGTCACTCCGATATGGCAGTGACAGCTCATAATTGTTTAGATAGAGGAACTTAACAAAAACCTATTGTAGTATTTCTTAATAGCTCAGTCTCTTGAAAGACACCTCCACTTTGGGCAAAGGAAAGGAAAATCCTGTAACATTTCATTCACTGCAGTGCTTCAAGCAGTTTGTTTTGAAGAACCACTCTCAACCATTATAGCAAGTCTATCATTATCTACAGAAATTATTTGTAAAAAGCTCTGGTATGATAAGGTTTCTCTTCTACTGTGAAAGGCAGTAAGAAAATCCCATGGGGCTTCCTAGTTGGAGGTGCTTCTTTGTCGCCTCAGCAGGCAAGGGTTTTCGATCCATCCTCAAGAAGTAAAGAGCAATCCCCTTCACACCTGACCTCTGATACAGATGTTCTCAGTGCATTGGAGCCTGTTCAGCCCTGGGGAAATCTTCCCATGTCCCTGCTGCTCTTTGCCCATAGCTGTATTCCTCCTGGCTTGCTCTGGAGCCCTCCTACCACTGTCTTCCAAAGGCTGACATTATAGCGATAATAGGAGATTTTCTCCTTGCTTGTCCAAAGAGATTTGTGTAGAGGAAAAAAAGTAACAT